AACACGAGAACATGGGTACTCCACCAGCTAGCATGGAATGGAACTTGGGCTTAGATGCAAGCCGGACGCAAAACAAGGACAAGCACACAAGCGGAAGCTACACTATGCCTTAAGTTGGTTGGCCATGCCCGACCTACCCACTATCCCTACTATACATTTGGAACCCCCCCACAGGCCCCCCCCCCCCTTCAGGAACACACGCTTTAGGCTTTCACCCCAAGCCTCCCTTAGTATCAGGAGTTAATCTCTAGGACAAGCTCAAAACTTACTAAATATGGAATGGCACTAGAATGCAAATTTAGGCCAATCTCTACATTCCGTAGATATGCCAAATGAGCAAATTTGGACACTTTCCATAAATAACATTTGGGACCGAAATGAGACTAACACAAAGGGCATGATAGCAAGGGTGTTTGGCAGACACGGTAAGCTATCATGTAGCGATATTGAGGGACCAATCTCAATACACAAGGGTTCTTGTCAAGCCAGTGCAAGACAGAGCAAAAGAGAATTAAAAAGCCAAGCCAAGTATGCTTGGCTGAATAGACACTTAGGAATTCCGTCCTTATGCTCATCTGGCCAAGTACAGATGCAAAGTCTAGTTTACTAACACTTGAACAAGAGGGGCTGATAAAGGGTCCAGCAATACCAACCTCCTGCCATCGTGGCAGTAAGGTAAGAGTGTCCGTAAGGATTGGCCGATAGGTAGCTTTCGATACCCGAAATCACATTCGCAACACTCAATGCAAGACAGAGCAAAAGAGAACTAAAAAGCCAAGCCAAGTATGTTTGGCTGAATAAACATTTAGGAATTCCGTCCTTATGCTCATCTGGCCAAGTACAGATGTAAAGTCCAATTTACTAACACTTGAACAAGAGGGGCTGATAAAGGGTCCAGCAATACCGACTTCCTGCCATCGTGGCAGTAAGGTAAGAGTGTCCGTAAGGACTGGCCGGTAGGTAACTTTCGATACCTGAAGTTACATTCGCGACAGTAGCTGGTAATGTTAAGGAATTGGTCTCGGATACTGACTAAGGTATCTTCGACTTTGGTTAACTTGGTTGCTAGAGAGCTTTGAGTGATGATTCACTCGTGCTTTCTTCTAACTTTGTTATAGTGTTGATGGCATTAAAGTGATGCCTTGTCGTTGACATTGTTGATGTTGAGACTCGAGTGATATGAAATGTCTCTCCTTAGGATTGATATTGAGTTTCACTAGTCTTCATGAAGATCGTATTGATGATTTAGCTTTAGCTTTGTGTTGTTGGCATTCATGCATTTGCTAATTAGTAACTATATTAACATTCAAATAAACTGAGTGGCAAGTTGAATTAATTATGTTCTAGACGAGATTATTTAGTAGGGGTTGAGTTTGAGCTTTTCCTTGAAAAGTGATTTAGTTGTAGACAATGCTAACTCTACAAAAAGAAGAGTTAATGATTGATATTGGAATATTTGAATCTTTATTAGATTTGAGTTGAAATATATTGATCATTGATGATTCTTCTTGTGCTTGTGGTGAAGTGAGTTACGTCTTGCTATAGATGGATTCATGGAGGATTGTTTAATGATCACTTGTTGAGCATAGCTTTGTTATGCTTAATTTTTGGATTGATGTAGATATGCTCTTCATTAGCTTGCATTATGAAGTTTAGCTTATGAATATGTTGAGAAGGATATTATTTGTTATACCATGATTTCTTCTTTAGCATTAAAGTTAGTTCATGCAAGACTCGTGATCATTGCTAAACAAGACTTAGCTATAGGCTTTTTTGAACTTTTGGTTCCTTAAGTTTTTATATTTATGGTCTATTTGTTAGAAATTATTGGAGAAGGCATTTTGGCTTATTAGCTTCAATGTTGAAGTTAGTATTTTGCATTTAACAATCATTAGTGATGATTGACTATCAACTAGAGTAATTAATTATCCTTATCAAAGGTTTTGCTTGATTATTGTTGATCTAGAATGATTTGTTGTTTTTCGGGATGGTGGATTCTTTCTTCAATGATGATTGTACATCTCTCTATTGATAGGATGATTGATAATTTTTCATGATGGTTAGTTGTTCTTTTTGATAGCTTATGGCTTTTCGCAATACCACATATTTTTTGTGATTTGCTTTGGATTGGTCTTTTGAGTTTGAGGCATTAGTAGAATGTTACTAACACTTGCTTAAGCAACTTAGGTTTCTTCATATTGTTGACCGATTTATTTAGTTTGGCTGGTGGGATAGTTGGCATGAACGAGTGTGTGTTAGTTTTACCACATTCATTCTATTCTATTGATTGTTGCTTGAGTTAACTTTAATAGATTAGGATGTTATTTCCTTCGGGTGATACAATCACGTGCATTTTGCTTGCCAATCAATGATAATTTGTGATCTTTTAGTTGTCTTTTGTCTATTGTTTAGCATGCTATCTACAATCTTTGATAGTTAAATTTTTATCATTGAGTTTACTTGATGATATATTTGTTATTGAATTTTGTTGGATGGTGAATTCTATATTTTTCTACTCTGATGATCTCAATGGTTTCTATACTCTACTACTTGTTTATCGGATGATAACTTACTTAGAATACTTTTGTGTTCTAATACCAGATTTATTCACTAATAATTAAGTCTCTAAGATATCATTGTCTATGACTTTGATATTATCCCTCTATGAATCTTTGAGTTTGGGCTAGTATAGGCAAATTAGCTTCAACACTTCATGTGCATGGTGAAATCTTTAGTCATGGGGTAGCTACTATCGACTAGTCACATAACCCGCCTTTTTGTCGATGTTTCTTATTCCATTAAAAGGGTGTGACCATGTAAACAACTCTAACTACCTATTTACAGTAGTCTATTTAAACCTTACAGATAGATTAGTTGGTGTATTTCTCACATAATGTGATCACTATGAACTTTTTCTAGAGTTGTTTCCTTACTGGTGATCTAGACTCGAGTATATATCGACGAGGATGTTAATCTTCCCTAAGAGGGGGAGAATGTCGCAAATGTGACTTCAGGTATCGAAGTTACCTGTTGGCTAGTCCTTTCGGATATTTTTTCTTTACTACCATGACGGCAAAAGGTTAGTATTGCTGGATCCTTTATCAGTCTCCGCCTAAGGTAGTTGAGAAACTGATCATCACATATGCACATAGATTGGAAGGGCATTAAGGAAGGAAATCTTAAGTTGTCATTTAGTCAAACATACTTGACATGGTGATAAGAAACTCATGATGTTGACTTAGTGTTGAGAACCCCCGCGATATTAAAATTATTCTCTCAATATTCACTAGATGGGGGACTCCAAATGTATAGTAGGGATAATGGGTAGGTCAAGCATAACCAACAAACCTAAAGTATAGTTTAGCTCCCACTTGCATGTCTATCCTTATTTTATGTCCAGCTTGGGTCTAAGCCTAAACTCCACATCATGCTAGCTGGTGGAGTACCTATATCCTTGCGTTAGGCCACCGGTATGCTGAAATAACGCCAAACTCTGTTTAGCTCTGTTTTGCGTGTTAGTTCTAGCATTAGGATGCTGAATACTCTAAGATTGTTCCAAGTTACTCTATGCTTCTATCCCTTCACTCTTTGGGTTATATGCTTAAGAATTGTTCTATGGTCCGGTTCCTTCGCTCCTCAGCTCCATGCTTGGGAGTTTGGCACCGTTCCTTCGTTCAGTGGCCCAAGGCTTTGAAATTTGGGTTTCACACCACTGTCCTTTGGACACATAGCATATGACACGTGGCATATAGAGGGTTTAGGTTCCGCTTTGTGGTTATCCTACGGTAAATCACCATAAGATAAAAGCTAAAAACCATATGCACTACACAAAAGATATAACCTTATAAGTGATATAGAGAGATAAGCCAAAGGCCCCAATCCTCATGAGCAAACAAACCAATGTGTTTCTACAACTTCTGAAACAGTAATTGCAAGTGTTTCAAATGATCTTTTAATGTTTCATTGAATACTATATATTATTAATACATAAGATAACAAATGTGTCCAAATAATCTTTAAATATTTTATCCATCATTGTTCTAAACATTGATAGAGCATTATATAGCATAAGTGAGGAACTTATAAGACCAGTAACAAGTTTTAAAAGTTTTTTTTTCCACATTTTGATCTGCCACCTGTATCTAATGATATCCAGACTATAAATCAAGTTGCAAAAAATATTTAGCCTTTAAAATTTGGTCTAACAAAGTCATTAATGTGAGGCAAAGGATAATTATTCTTGACTATAATCTTGTTGAGAGCTTAATAATTGATACACATCCTCATAGTACCATCCTTTTTCACAACAAAAAAGATCGATGCTTCATAAAGCAATTTACTTAATTGGATATAACCTTTTTCAAGGAGTTATGTGAATTATTTCTTGAATTCATTCATCTTCTTAATGTTCAAATGGTATAAAGCCTTTATAGGTTGTTTATAACCTGAAACAACCTTAATCCGATAATCAACTTCATAGCTAGGGTAGCTTTAATGGCAAATCTTTCAAAAAGATATGTCCTAATTCATCACCAACAACTCCAATGCCATCCCCCTCAAGCGTGGTTGTCAATTGGACTATTACCAATTGTTTGAAATCTTGTCATACCACTCAAATCCTTCCCTTGACCTCATCATCAATTACTATTGGCATCTCTTGCTTATCTATTGTGTTATCCTATTAAGCATCCCTCAAGCTGTTGTTGGGTGTTGCTTGAAAATGTAAATCTCATCCTCACCTTGGACAAGGATTATATATGAGTTTCTCTCTGGGAGGAATATCAATCACAAAATTTGCTAAAATTTTAGTTTTTTTCCTCTCATTTGTAAGAGCTCCAAGCCAGGTTTGCCAAATGCAAGCTTCAACAAGCAATTCCAAAGGGAAGTTAATCTATGTTGTGCTCTTATTGTATACTATGTCTCAGTGCTAGCTTTTTAGCTTTTATTATGGATTTTGTTTCTAAGGTTTTATGATGGTGTTTTAAGCATTTTTTCCAACGTTATTTACAGTTTCCATTTAGACCGGACAACAAGACATAAGGAGCGGAAGTTTTTGTTGGATTGAGCTCCAAAGCTCGTGATGCTGCTCGGATACCCCGCTCAACATGTCCATAGCTTCTGCAACCAGCTAATAGAGCCAGCCATGCTAAGTCCTCGGGCTGGAAGGGCATGCTGCCAATCAGCTCCTCTGCTTCTTCCAGCTTTCCAGACCGGGCAAACAGATCGACCATGCACGTAAAATGCTCCACAGTCTCTTCAACTTCGTAGTCTTGCTTCATCGAGACGAAGTAGTCACAACCAACTTCAACAAGGCCCGCATGGCTGCAAGCCGAGAGAATGCTGAGGAAGGTGACGTTCTCAGGATGAACGCCTTGGAGCACCATAAGCCTGAAGAAGCTCAGCGTCTGGTGGCCGCGCCCGTTCTCAGCATAAGCTTGTAGCATCGCAGACCCTGGGATGACACCGACGGTTGGAAGCCTTTCAAAGATGATCCTGGCTCGATCGACACAGCCACACTTGGAGTAGAGACTCAAAAGGGCATTCTGAAGTTGAGGATGGTGATCCAAGTTGCAACAGGAAATCTCGTCATGAAGAAGTCTGACTTGGGTAACTTCGGGAATGGAGGCACAGGCATCGACAACGCTGATGAAGGTTACGTGATCGGGCTGGACACCTTCGGCGTCCATTCTAGCGAAGCTGTGAAGAGCGAGGCGGCCGTGACCATTGTGAGCGTAAGCCGAGATCAACGCAGTCCACACCACCACGTTCGGCAGAACCACCTTGTCAAAAACGTGCTCTATTTCGTCTATGCACCCCCACTTGGAGTACATGGTGATGAGAGAACTGGCTATGGCGGCCCGTGTGTCCAAACCAGCGTCAGTAATGCTCGAGTGGATGACTTTGCCTTCAGCTCTGGCTTGCACTACTCCACACGCATCGAGAACCGTGGTGTAGGCAATGACGTCCGGCTGGATGCCTTCGAGCAGCATCCGGTGGAAGAGTTGAAGAGCGCTGGAGCTGAGGTTGTTTTGAGCGAAGGCCGAGATCATCGAAGTCCAAAGAACGACTTCATCGACTTCTTCAGAGTTGCTGCTGTGATCCTGGAAAGAAGAAAGTCGGCTGTGGCTTTGGCTGATGGCTGCGAAGACGAGCCACGCATCGTGTGGACTCCGGCATTTCCCGTACATGTCGACCAACGAAGCAGCAATGAGCAGCCTGGAGAACGAGGAGAAACAAGCAGCGTCGAGCTCCTGGTGGATCAACTTTCCTTCGGCAAGAGTTCTTTGGCAGCCGCAGGCTTCCACAATGGCTGCGAGCGATATCTCGTCAACCCGTGTGCCTTCCAAGTCGAATCGCCAACACAGGTCTGTGATCATCTGTCTTACTGGCCAGCCTTCGACACAAGCTTTAACCATCGTTGTCCAGGAAGCAGCGTCTGGACACGGCATTCTTTCAAGCAGCTCCCGAGCGTCGAAAATCCGTCCTGAGTTCACATAAGCTTGGATCAGAGTGCTCCACGCTGCGGCGTCGGAGCTGGGCAGCCTGTCGAAAACCTCCCGGCTCTCGTCAAGCTGACCGCTGTGCACGAAAGCGGTGATGGTGGCGCTCCAGGATCCAGAGTTCCGTCCAGGCATTCGATCGAACAGGGTCTTGGGATCTTCTTCCAGCTCCTCTCCCGGCTCCGAACTAGCGACAATCAAAGCATTCCAGGCGACAACGTCCCAGCAAGGCATTCTCCAGAAAACTCTAGCAGAAGAGGTGGCATGCCCGTTCTGGGCATACCCCCACAGCATGGCAGTCCAGGAAACCAAGTCCCGCTCGGGCATCTCCGCGAAAGCCCGCTCGGCGCCGTCGATGTCTCCCGCGCTGGCGAGCCCGCCGATCATGGCCGTCCACGTGGCCGCGTTCTTGGAATCCATGGAGAAAAAGACCACCTGGGCTTCGTCCATGTAGCCGTTCCTCGCGAGTGCCCCAACGAGCGCGTTCCAGAGGGAGATCCATCGCTCCGGCGCTCCATCAGCGGCGATTCGAGCGTCGCCAACGAATCCGTGCTCGCCAAGCGCCGAGACGATGAGCGTCCAGGACACAGAGTCGCGCTGGGGCATCAGATCGAAGATGGATTTTGCGCATTCCAGATGCCCGATCGCGGCATGCGCCTGGATCGCGGAATTCCAAGAGACGGCGCTTCGTTGGGACATTCGCGCGAAGATTTCTTGGATGGATTCGAGAGCACCGACGCTGGAGAGGGCGGCGATCATGGCGTTGCAAGAGACGGCGTTGTGCTCGGGCATTGAATCGAACACGGAACGCGCGGCGTCGAGATTCCCTGCGCGGGAATATGCGGCGATGGCGGCGGTGCCGGACACTAGCTCCCGCGCAGGGAGCAGGGAGTATATTCGCTCCACGAGTGTGGCATCTGCGCTGGGTGCCGAGATCAGGGCCGTCCAGGAGGCGAGGTCTCGGCCGGGCATCGAGTCAAATATTCGCAGTCCTTTGTCGAGATGCCCGTTTTGGACATATGCGGTAATCATTGCGTTCCAGGATACAACGTTTCGCTGTGGCATATTCGCGAAGAACTGTGATGCTGCCTCCAATTGGCTGTTTTGAGAGTAGGCACTCAGCATTGTTGTCCAGGAAACCACATTCTTGTCCTGCATCGCATCGAAAGCGCATCTGGCGTCGTGTAGATGCCCGTTTTGGGAATATACTGCCATTATGATGTTTTGCGAGAAAACGTTTGGATGCCAGATGCGGGCAAGGCAGTCTTGAGCATCTGTGACACTCCCGCACATACCATACATTCTCACCAGGAGATTCCCAACGACCGTGCCTCGATCTAACCCGAGCTCCGTGACTCTGGCGTGGAGGCTTTTGGCAGCTGCCAAATCTCCTGCGGCCGCGCATTGCTGGATCATGGATTGAATGCTGATGTTGTTGCTCCATTCCTCTTTTCTTCTTCTGGCCAAGCTGATCATCCCATGGCAAATTCAATGAGTGGGCCTTGCTTGAGGCTGATGCAGTATAAGAGATCCTGAAATGCTAGGCACAAGTAGACGGTGCGTTGTTCGTCTAAGGAATCTGCATGTCTTTCCTTGTTGAGGAGCAAAAAACCGTGTATATTTCACAGTTTCTATCTGAATAAGGTTTATCGTTGATCTCTCTGTGAGTTCTTTAGCTATGTTCTACTGACCGAAGCCACCCCGAGTCATGGCATTGGAGGAACAGGGCGTTAACTAGGCGGCCTTTGCTGTCAAACTGTTAGTCTTGGATCGCGCTAAGCTTATGAAGAGGATGGTCCAATCACATCCCAAGCGAAGGCAGAAGATTCGATGTGTGGATTGCATGCCACCTGAACAAGTTACCATGTAAGCTGTTTGGGCTTCGTGTCTAGAACATGTTACAAGGGGCATTTCTGAGGGCGAAAATGACATTGGAATGTTTTCCAGAACATTGGCTTAGCATGTAAAAGCAGCATGCCTCAGGAGATTTTCATGCGTTGAAGAGGAGCTACGCCACTACATGCAGTTCTAAAACCAACTCAGGTTTCTACTAGTTTTGCTTGAGGACGTATTGAAGGATGATGGCAAGATGTAGGACCTAATGCTGTGACCATATCGATTGAGTTGGCAAAGATCCATGTGACATCTTCAAACCTTTGGATCCCCGCACTGAAGGTAATATTGAACTTTGAAAAGAAAGAATGTTTTTTAGTGTGCCATTTCTCCATCTTTGCAAAGTAGCCACCTTACTATTCTTTTAGCATGGTTATTCTTGGACTTGGTCACGTCCTCATGCCACTTGCTAGATCAAGCAAAATATTTGATTAGGGGAGAGAGAGAGAGGTTTTGGTGTAATTGAGCTAACCTTTGTAAGCATGCTAAATAATTTTTAAAAAACAGTTCAAAGATTCACATATAAGCACAATAGTTAGATCTTAGTTAGCAATACTAAGGAATTATAATTGCTAAAGTAAGCATTAATGACATCCTATTAATATTTCAAATCTAAAAGACCAATCCAAATCAAACCACAAATAATATTTAGCAATGTAAAAAGCAAGAAGCCATCAAAATAATAACTATTACAAAACAATGTCAACTATCCATTTTTTAAAATGGTAGATTCTTCTTCAATATGATTGTGCATCTCTATCAATGGGTCCATTACCAATAATAATCAAGTAAAACTTTTAACAAGGATAATTAATATTATGAATATGATTATGGGTATCAAAAGTTATTTAGCATCCAATTCTTTTGGATATTCTTTCCTTTTTGCCACAATGGCAAGAGGTCTATATTGTTGGACACTTTATTAATCTTCAGTCAAGCTAATTAAGAAATTGGTCTTTACATATGCACTTGGTCAAAGGAGCATAAGTATGGAATTTCTACGTGCTATAGCTAACTATACTATACTTAGTAAAGAGTTCCCATCTGGTCATGTTTTGCACTAGCTAGTGACAAAAACCCTTGAATATTGAGATTAATCCTTTAATATTGTTAGATGATAATTTACTATGTCTGTCAAACACCCTCGCTATCATGCCCTATATATTGATCCCATTTGGTCCCAATAACTATTTATGGAAAGTATATAAATTTGTTAATTAGGCATATTTATCGAATGTAGAGATTGTCTTAAAAGTTGTTGGTTTTTGTTAGATTTGAGTTAAGGTTATATCGATCATATTGCACTTGTTATAAAGTGAGTTGCACTTTGCTATAAAAGATAGTTTCATGGCATATTAGCTTGGAGATCACCAATTAAGTATAGCTTCATTAGATTAATACAAATATGTTCTTCATTAACTCTTGCATTAAAAGTTTGACTTATAAATGTATTGAGGAAGATATTGTTAGTTATACTAAATTGATGCAAAACTTGTGATTATTCTTATATGGGATATAGCTATATCTTTATTCAATTTTTTGGTTCTTTGAGTTCTAGTGTTCATTATTTTATTTATTAGGAGTTATCAAGGAAAGCATATTAGCTCATTAGCTCTAATGTTTAATCTGATTCTTGCATATAGTAATAATTAAGAATGATTAATCATCATTTAGGATAACTAATTGTAGTACATGTGGTTTTAACCCTTTACCTTATGGTGATTTACCATACAATAACCACAAAATGGAACATAAACCCATAGCTACATATTTAAGGGCAATGGAGCAAAATTTAAATTTTAAGGTTTTGGGCTATTAAATGAAGGGATGGAGCAAAACTCCCAAGCATACATCCAAAAAGTGAAGGAACTAAAGTATGGATGGACTCTCAAATGTATAGTGTAAATAGTAAAAGGACAAAAGCATGGAGCAACATTGGAATAATCATAGAGCATTCAATATTCTAATGCTATGACCAACATACAAAATAGAGCCAAATGAAATTTGGCACTATTTTAGCATATTGGTGGTCTAATATGAGAATAAAAGTACTCCACTAGCTAGCATGGTATAGAATTTGGGATTAGACCCAAGCCAAATGCAAAACAAAGACAAGTACAAAAGCAAAAGTTATATTATGCCTTAGGTTGATTAGCCATGCCCAACTTCACTATTATCTCTATTATACATTTGGAACCCCTTAATTCTATCCTTATGCTATATATGAGGATTCGTTTCTCAACTAGCTTAGGCATAGACTAATAAAGGGTTTAGCAATATCGAACTCTTGCCATAATAGCAATAAAAAAAAAATCTAAAAGGACTTGCCAATAGATAACTTTTGATATTTGCAATCACATTCACAACATTCTTCCCCCTTTAAAGAAGATTGACGTTCTCATTAATATATATTTTAGTTTAAACCATTGCCAAAGAAACAACTCCAAAAAAAGTTTATGGTGTTCACATTTTATGAGAAATGCACCAATTTAAATGAGTTAAAGGGATAACCTTTTGTCCAACACATATGTGCTACAACTTAGACACCTTTTAGTTGTTACCAACAAGGAAATAACTAATAGAATTAGTCATCCTTGCTAGTCTGGATGTCATCTAATTTACAAAACATAATATACCCTTGCTATAGGTGATATAGAGAGAGAAGTCAAAAGCCTTAACCTTCATAAATAAAAAAATTAAATCTGTCAGTAAGGTTTAGATAGAATTCTATAAACAAGCAGTTAGAATTGTTTATATGGCTATGCCCTTTAAACAAAATTAGGAACATTGAAATAGAGGCAGGTGATGTGATCAATTGATAATAGTTATCTTATGACTAGAGATTTCACCATGCATATAAAGTGCCAAAACTAACCTGCCTATACTAGCCTAACCCAAAGATCAATAAATGGACAATATCAAAATCATAGATAAAGATATTTTAGAGAAAATAATTTATCAATGAATAAATTGTATATTAAAGCACAAAAGTATTCCAATAAAATATTATCTTATAAAACAAGATTATAAGATAGGAACCACCAAGATCATTATAGTGTGAAGACATAGGATTAGCCATCTAATAAACATCAAATAGCAAAGATACCATCAAGAAAACTTAATAATAAATTTCAACTATCAAAGATTATATTGTTTTATCACTAGGGTGATGATACAATAACATATAAAAACCACTAAAACCCTTGTGTTCTTGTAAAAAACACCAATTAGACATTGATAGCATGTTAAACAACTTATAAAAGACAACTTAAAAAACATAAAGTATCATTGAGTAATAAAAAAAAATGCTCATGAATGTACCACCTAAAGGAAATAATATTCTAATCTAACAAAACCAACTTGAGCAACAATCAACAAAACAAAATGAATATAATAAAAACAATAAACACACATTCATATGAATTATCACACTAGTGAGTCTAAAGAGATCTTAGTCATCAATACTAAAGAACCATAGTTGCTAAAGTAAACATCAGTAACATCCTACTACTAACTCAAACCCAAGAGATTAATCCAGAGCAATTCACAAAGAACTGTGGTTATGTAGAAAGCAAAATAAAATGATCAAGATAATAATTAACTATCATGAAAGATCACTAATCATCCCATCAATAAAAAAACACATAATCATCTTTGAAGAAATAATCCACCATCCTGAAAAATGGCAAACCATCTAACATCAACAATAATCATGTAAAACCTCTAACAAAGATAATTAACTATCCTAAATGATAGTCAATTATCACCAATGATTACTAGATGTGAGAACCAACTTGATTTACAGAATTAATGAGTTACAATGCTTTCCTTGAGAACTCCTAACAAATAAAAAATTGAGTACATAAACCACCAAAAACTTGAAAAATCTATATCTAAATCTTGTATAATAACACCCATAAGTCTTGTATCATTCAACTTCAATGCAAAAAAATAAATCATGGTATACCCCACAATAACCATCTCAGCACATCTATAAGACAAACTTAATAATGAAAAGTTAATGAAGAATATATTTACATTAATCCAAAAACTAAGCACAATGAAACTATGCTTAATAATTTATTGTGAATGTGATTGCGAGTATCAAATGTTATATGTCAATAAATCTTTTTGGATATTTTTTCTTTACTACTATGATGGTAAGAAATCGGTATTGTTGGATATTTTATCAATCCCTCTTGTGCTAGTGGAGTTAATTAGGCATTTCGAGTGGGGTTGGGTAGTTTTTGAGCTGAGCTCAAGTTAATAAAAGTTAATGAAAGTCAATATAGTCCAGCATACAAAAGTTGATGTTGAAATGATTGGTTCAGAATGAACCAACAATTTTATTTAAAACTTAAGACATATTTTTGGTCCAAGAAAAAGTTAAATAATATATATTCAATAAGAAAATAAGTATCATGAGTCAAAGAAGAAACTCTATAATACCACTAAAAAATTTGACTAAAAGAAAAACTAAACTTAGTCTTCCTCGGCATCCACATCTATAAAGGGAGGAGTTTATATAGTATTATGCTCTCTAACTGTGGGCTCTTGTTGTATATAAGCTTTTGCCATTGCTT